TCTTGAGGTTGTAATAAAAATAAAAGATATATAAAATTATACAGCGTATCCACCAGTTGGAATTATGATGGTATCTTTACGAATAGGGTTAATTAAATTTAGACCAGGAACATTCCCGTTTGCCCAAGATGGATCTTTCCATTTTGGGTAGTTGCAAAACCTAAGCTTGGTATTAGCACAGTATATATCTGGTGTCTCACCTAAAAAATAAAAGCACTATTTTATTAATTTGTTCAAAATGTAAATAAAAAACCTTTTATAAAATCCATAATTTACCTATTACACGTCCGGTTTTTTTATCTTGCGGTGGATATTCCATTTTTAATAAATAAAAGCTGTGTCCGTGTAAATGTATTGGATGGGCCCAACCTGAACCTGATCCCATATTTGTCCATACCATTTGAATTGTTTTGTTATAAGGTACGGTCAGCTGGTAGTGGCAATGACAAATTTTATCTTCTCCGCAATCTTTTTTGTCGCAATCGTAATCACTTTCCATTTGCTCGTTTTGAAATAACGAGTTCACCCCTGGATTTTCAAACTTTCTACCATTAACGGCTCCAGGAGTAAACTTTTCTATACCATCTCCTGGAAAAGCAAAATTTAGAAAAAATTCAAAAGAATCTTCATCCATTTTTGGAGGTTGATCCTTATTTGTTTTCGCCTTCATTTCGCTCATTTTAATGCATTGAGTATGTGCTCCAACAGGAAATATCGAAAATGGACAATTTAAAACAATGCACGGCCTGTAGGAAAAACAATTTTGGCGATTGCTGGTTGGTTCTACTTCTAGTGAACCTTCGTAGTGCAGCACAGCTTCAATAGTGTGGTCTTTAACCCCTACCTGGTTGATTAATAAATAAAGTTATATTTTTATAAAGTACTATTTGTGAAGTACATAACGTTATTATGTATTATATACATAATTTGTACACAAAACATTATATATATATATATATATATATATATATATATATATATATATATATATATATATATATATATATATATATATATATATATATATAATATATATATATATATATATATATATATATTATTTCGTTATTTAGGTGCCCCAAGAAGACCTAATGGTCTTGTTACAGAGCACCGCGGAAGTGCATTTAAACAGGAAGTTCACGCCTCCTTCCTTACCGTGACGCGAAAATATGTCCAGAGCACGTTTCTAACCTGGATCTCCTGCTTATAAACCAAGCACTCTAACCACTGCGCCACGGCCACACATATATATGCATGATATATAAATTAACATATAAATTTTTAATAATAAAGTTGTAATAATAATGTTAACTGAAGACAACATCTATTACAATTATTTAAGCTATAAAGTGCAAAGTATAGAACTAACCTCAAGACTGTCAGCACGTATCCAATAGTTGCCGTAGGGCTGATCTGCTGTAAGTATAAAATCATACCTCTCCCCAGGATTTATTATAAACGACTCTACAATCCATGGTTCAATGTCGTAACCATCAGAAGAAATTACTTCTAATGAATGACCATCTACTGATATACGTAGGGGATATATAGAACCAACTCCAATGACGCGAAATCTATATTTTTGTCCTCTGGTTACATTAAACCAGGTTAGAGGCGCCATTACTTTTACACCTGATTAAAAAATATATATTTTAAGTTTAAAAAATATAGAACGCATTATAAGTTAAACAACAGAATATCTACAGAATAATAAAAGTCAATATATACCCGTTATTTTATCGATGTATCTTCCCCTACCATTTATCAAACCTGAAACCCACGGCACTGCGCTGAAATTTCCTCCGTCCAACGTATGAGTTGTTTCATATCTATTTCTTCCTATATAGTTTCCGTATATCATTTTTATGTATACCTAAAACGTTTCAGATATAAAAAAGTGCCTCACTAAAATAAAAAAAAGCCTCACCGAGGTAACAAAATAAATGTTCACTTATGCAATTGTGTTTTTACCTCATCAGAGTTTTCATGATGCCAATCTCCAACGGTCATTATCATGTCTATAAGAGGTTGCTCATCGGGCTTTGGTCGTTCTTTAACTATAAATGGGCCGAATACTCCATTAGTTCTTTGAGCACCTACATGACTATGATACCAAAAAGTGCCTTTTGGTGAAGCCTATATAAAAAAGATGTATTTTAAGTTTATGATATTTTGTCAAAAACTTTAAATATAAAGATAATTACTTTTTAAATATGTTATGAATTATTTTTAAATATGTTACTTTAAACTCATGTGTAAAGGTTTGTCCAGCAGCAATAGGGCACTGAGTAATGTATGGCATTCCATCAAAATAAGGGGTATCTTTTTGATGTAAACCGTGAAAATGTATAGTTGCTGAATCGCTTAAAAGCATGTTGCGAATATGAACAGTAACCATTTGTCCAGCATATACAACAATTGGAGGACCTGGCACTGTACCATTAACTGCTTCAACCATACGGTTAACTCCATCCACTGACATAACTTTGTCCATTGGAACCTAAAATAGAGGACTATACTAAGTTTAACTATGTAAAACGTTTCCTTATGCGTTGTTAGATACTTTAAGATGCAGACAAATTGGTAATTAACATGGTATACAACACTACTTAGTATTTCATTTGTGTTACTGATAAGTAACACAAATAAATATGCTCCCATAATGGTACTAATGTTACATGTGTCTGTTCTCAAAAGTTTACTGGAGCATTTTGTGAAAGTAATATATATTTTTTTAATATTAATAACATTTAAATCATAAAAAGATTAGCTTTTGTACATTTAAAAAATTATCATTACTGTAGTAGAATTGTTGTTTTCAGTTAAATAAAGTAATAATTTACTGTAGTAGAATTGTTGTTTTCAGTTAAATAAAGTAACAATTTACTGTAGTAGAATTGTTGTTTTCAGTTAAATAAAGTAATAATTTACTGTAGTAGAATTGTTGTTTTCAGTTAAATAAAGTAACAATTTACTATAGTAGAATTGTTGTTTTCAGTTAAATAAAGTAATAATTTACTGCAGTAGAATTGTTGTTTTCAGTTAAATAAAGTAATAATTTACTATAGTAGAATAGATGTTTTCAGTTAAATAAAGTAACACCTTATTTAACTGAAAACAACAAATAGAATTGTTATTTTCAGTTAAATAAAGTAACACTTTATTTAACTGAAAACATCAATTCTACAGCATATGTTAAATAAAGTAACACTTTATTTAACTGAAAACAACAAGTAGAATTGTTATTTTCAGTTAAATAAAGTAACACTTTATTTTGAAAACAATAAGTAGAATTGTTGTTTTTAATTTAACAATTTTATCTTGAAGATTTTTTAACTATTTATTTTAATACTTTTTGCTTTTAGCAAATGAAGTTTTAATTCTGTAAACGATTTTGTATAAATATTTTTTAAAGAAATGAACTTTATAGCGTTTTTTTGATTGACATGTTGTTAACATGTCGTTGATTCTCTGGATTGTCAAAAGTTTGCATGTAAAACTTTTAATTAAAATATTGTACTTTTTTTTTGACTTCAGAAAGAAGTTTTTCTATAGAAAACCTAGCTACATACTTTACCTAGCACTACATACTTTACTTAGCACTACATACAATTTATGATTCTGCTTATTTACTTCTAATAATTTGCTTCTGCTAAGTAGAATCGTTTTTTTGTAGCCAAATGTTTGTGTGCCAGAAAAATAAAAACTACAACTGTTAATTGTGACCGTATCCGTTTAGCCGGATCAAGCACTCAGTCCCCATGAGTATTTATTTAAATGCTGATTAGATCTGGCTAGCTATTGCTAGCTATGTGGTTTTGATCGACTAGAACAATACCATTAAAATATTTAAAAAATTTTATTTCAACTTAAATCAACTTTGGTTTTTCAGTGGACAATTTTTGATTTGTCTTGAATTGCAATAGAATTTTGATTTGCCATTAGACAAAATTCTTAAACTAGATATTGACTTGAAGAATTGACTTTAAAAGCTTAGAATTGACTTCGAAAACTTGCGGTTTGATTTAAACCCTAATTTTATGTAATTTGTTTATAAATAAATAACAAAAAAAACAATTTAATTTTTGATGTTGCATAAAGTTGATGCTACCACTGAAAACTGAACATATGAGACCAAAAAATATTTTATATATAGTCACTTGATTTGAAACTTTCTAGATGTATCGACAGATGTATAAAAAAAGATTTAAACGTTAAAAATCTGTTTTTACAAAATTTGAAAAAAATTTATTAAGTTGCTAACGTTATTATTATGGTTATTTTTCTTTCTTCTTTAATTTTACAGGCCCGCGATTCATTTTATAAAGCAATCTACTTATCTATTTCTTTTCATTTGCATTTTATTAACGGTTTTTATGCATTTTATTAACGGTTTTAATGTATACAAAATGTATGCTTTAAAGGTTTTTATGCATACATTTTATTAACAGTTTTTATGCATACATTTTATTAAAAGTTTTTATGCATACATTTTATTAAAATGTATGCATAAAAACCGTTAAGAAAATAGGGTTCATTTTCGAAAACACAATTTTCGAAAATTTTCGATTAAAACGTTATCGATAAAAAAACTTTTTTTTCGAATTTTGTAAAAAGTTTCGAAAACTATCGAATAGCTAAGATAATTTCGAAAACTTAAATTTAATTTTGAAAACTCATTTTCATTTCGAAAAAAAAAAGGTATACTAAAGGCCGTTTTCCACAAGACGAAATATTCGCGCGATGCGAATTTTTTCGCTATGACAAAAACGCTGATTTGATTTCCACTTACTTTCTTTCGCGCTACTTTTTTTTCGTTGTCATCAATAAAAGTGGCAGCAATAAGTTTACGCTGTATGTTTAAGTAAAGGCAGATATTACTTTTTTAGCATACTTTCTAGTTTGAAGCATGTGAAAATTTCTTTCCGTGCATTAATATTAACACTTCTGCCTTTTTATGTAAAATGTGATATTATTTTGTAATATAATCATTTAATATAAGGTTTTTTTTACAAGAAAGTATAAGAAAATAAATGTTAAACTCTGATATGAACGTTTCTATTAAAAACTGTTACTGCAAGAACGAACAACAGGTTTAACTCAATGTAGAATTTTTCACAAAAAGGTTTATCTTCGTGTGGCCACTTAAAGATAAACATTCTCATGAACTGTAACTTTCGCAATTAACGGAGTTAAAATTTATATTTGTAAATTCTCGATTTAGTTTTATATATAAGTCTGGTCATTTTTTTATGTAAGTCTTGCCCCTTTTTTGATAAACTTACTCATGTTTACCAATTTTCAGAGTAAGTTTATATAAAATTAATAAGAACGCCAGGGGTCAATGCTATAAACAAAAAAACGAAGTTTTTACCGTAAAACTCTATATTTTTTGCGCACCACACGGAGGTTTTGCGTAAAAAGCAAAAAAAAAAAAACAAACAGTATATTGCTATAATTATTGTTATATATATATATATATATATATATATATATATATATATATATATATATATATATATATATATATATATATATATATATATATATATATATATATATATATATATATATATATATATATATATATATATATATATATATATATATATATATATATATACTTATTTTCACAATATGTATATATTTTTATAATAATATTCATAACAATTGATTGTTCTTTCTTTCTTTTTTCTTTTTTTTTTTTTTGCAAAACCTCCGGGTGGTGCCCAAAAAATTTCGAGTTTTACGGTAAAAACTTCGTTTTTTGTTATAGCATTGGCCCCAGGTTAAGAATTTTGTTACTTTAAAAACATGTTTTCGCTTTTTTTTTTTTTTTTTTTGTTGACATCACGTGGTATAATATTCAAAACTTCATTGGTTTTCACTTATGGCGGTTCGCAAAAAGTCGAAATGAATCCGACTTTTTTTTCGCTGCAGCGAAACGCTGTAGCAAAAAAAAATCAGTATAATCGCCGAAAATGTTTAATCTGCGCTAGCTTAACGACGAAAAAATTCGCTTCGCGAGAATTTTTCGTCTTGTGGAAAACGGCCTTAAACTAATTTCGAAACTTAACTTCGAAACTTAAGTTTCGAAAAGTCAAATAGACTTCGAAATATACTTTTAAATAGACTTCGAAAAAAAAAAATAAGTTTCGAAAAGTTAAATTAGTTTCGAAAAAAAAACCATTTCAATTAGCTAAATTATTTTCGAAAAAAAAAAAAGTTTTACAAAAGTAAATAATTTTCGAAAAAAAAAAGAACTTCGATAAAATATATGAGTTTCGAAAAAAAAAAAAGCTTTTCGATTAAATGAATTTTTGTTCAAAAAAAAAAATGAGTTTCGAAAAGTGGAATGTCTATTTGCGCATTCAGTAAACACGGACGTTTACAAAAAGTTTTAGCAGCGCGGACGTCATTTTTAAGTGTAAAATATTAATATATTTACAATTAAAATTAAATTATCAAAAAAAATAATAATAGTAATAACTAAATTGCATCTAAAATTTAATTATATAAAGTTGATTTTAGAAGTGCGTTGTAAAAGATTTATTTTTACAAATAAAAGTAGTTAACATAAGTAATTAACATAAAGAAGTTACTTATAAATTGCCAAAGTAAGTCATAATATGAGAATTGTTTTGCCCTAATAAAAATTTGGTCAAAACAATTTTCAAAATCACCTACTCCTTTTTAAATGCGAATGAATATTGATGGCTAAATCTAATCAAGACCGGCGTGAAGAGTATGTGTGGGAAGAGTGTAGAACGGTGACATATCTACATTCAATAAACCAGTCGGTAAATTGGGACCTTTTTTTAGTTATGTTCATTTGTCAAAATAGGACTTAAATATATATCATACTGCAGCAAATAAGGGTGTCATATTGTATAAAAAAAACTGAAACCTATATAATCATATTATAATATAAGCTATATAATCATATTTTATCTTATATTTGTTAAATGCTTTTTTAAGATTCTGACGACAAGATCCTTGCGATCTTGTTTCAGGTACCTTGTTTATGTTTGTTATGTTTTATGCCATTGTAAGTTTATATTTTTATTTTTATTATGGGCTGTGCAACGATTAACAAATGTAAAAAAAAAAAAAAAAAAAATAGGTTTCAGTTTTATTTTGTAAGAATTTTTAGTATCATCCTCATCTATATATATCATCTATATCGCTATAAATGCTATAAGCGATTTAACTTCGCTTTATACTAGTGATGTGCCGGGTTCCCGGTTCGGACCCGGCAATTCAGCTGTTTTATCGGGTACCCGGTATCGGCCATTTTGTTGCAGTACCCGGCACCGGGTATCTTCAAATTGATTTTTCCTTTAGTTTAAACTTTAACCATTAAACTTCTTGATATAAGTCTAAGAGTGTTATGTAGTCGGTAACCACAAAGTTTTATTAACTTAAAACAATCTCACTTAAAATATTTTATAATACATCTTTGCAAAGAAATTTATACAGATACAAAAACTGTAACGTTAA